AAACAGAGAGAACAATAGGTCTCTGTTATCCATCAGCAAAAAAAAAGATTTATAATTTTTTATTTATTATTATTTCGGTAACACTTTACAATAAGGTTCATTAGTTAACTACATGAGTTAACATGAACTAATAATGAACTGCACTTATACAGCGTTTATTAATCTTTGTTAATGTTAATTTCAACATTTACTAACACATTATTAAAATCTTGTTAACATTAGTTAATGCACTGTGAACTAACATGAACTAACAATGAACATCTGTATTTTTATTAACTAACGTTAGTGAAGATTAGTAAATACAGTAACAAATGTATTGCGCATGGTTAGTTCATGTTAGTTTATACATTAACTAATGTTTAACTAATGAACCTTATTGTAAAGTGTTACCATTATTTCTAAGCCAGAGATAGTGAAGTATAGAGCAGAAACTTGGACATATAGGACATAACATAAACTGAGATCTGTTTCTTATATAAAAGAGAAATGTCAAGAACTTTGTTGTCTCTCACGATACAGGAATGGGCATGGAAGTGTTCGCTACACTGGCGGGAGCTGCCATTCAGGGTCAGATAGTGGGGGTGCACCATGCCAAGAGGACACACGTCTGCAGTTTGCAGAATGACACGGAAGGGCCTTCTGCGAACCACACTGAATCACTGGATGACATATCTGACACTCTACAAAATACAGTGAGGCACAGAGAACATCCTATTAATGAGTATAGTGGAATTTGTTTAGCTTAGGAAAGTATTCCAGAAAAGTTTAGCTGAATATATATTGTGATTCGTCTTTTAATTTTGTCGTTCTACAGAGAAGAGCCTATTTGACTGGAGCATTAGTATTGGGAATGCTGTACTTTCTTTGCTGCCTTGTCCTTTTTCTTGGAGTGAAGGAACAGTTGGGTGGGTCCAAATGAGTTAACATGGGTTAAAATGCTAACATCTGTTGTTTGGTGTACCACATGTTCTTTCAGCCTTTGCTAATTGTGCATCAGGAATTTTCAAACACGTAAATAAATAAACTGCCTGGGTAAAAAAAGTTGCTGTTTGAATTTAAATAAGCAGACACTTAAGAGTCTAAGGGCCAGATTTACTAAACAGGGCAAATTAGCGCGAGAGTGCAATTCCAAAACAGCGTGGAAATTTCTGCAGCTGATTTACTGACAACGCGCAAATTAAAGAACACAGATGCAACATCTCATTTACATATCGACCAATGCAATATACCAAGCGCAGCACAAATTAGCGTAGTCGCAAATAAGCAGAGCCGATGTTCATCAGGTGTGGGTAATCTACTTATGACACAGGCGCAAAATATTTTAAGACATGCTTTTTTGGGTATATTTGACATATCCATATTCTAGGATATCAATGCCAAGATTTAACAGGCTCAAAGTGTGAAAGAAGGGGTCATTGAGCATGAATTGGCCACCACAGAGTCCTGACCATAATCCCATTCAAAGTCTTTAGGATTTTGGAAGACTTTTTTGGTGGTTTGCCTCAGAGTCAGACGGTTGGGAGCACTCCCATTGTCAATACAAGATCTCAGCCAAAAACGAATGCAACACTTGAGAGAAAAAACTTTGTGACATTTCATAAGGTTGTCAAAATAATGCCGTTTTTTTTTTAAAGCTAAATGCCGTCCAACAAAATATTAGATTGTGCAACTTTTTTTGGCCAGGCAATATATTTGGCCCATTGACTTCTAGATTAATAAAATGATTTGCATGTGTCTACTTCTCACTTCAGCCCCTCTGAGTAAACTGGACCGCATAAATGTCACCTATCTAACTGGAATGAAAATGGTGGTGGGACACACTCCATATGTGCGGCTTGTATTTGGCTTCCTATTTGCTTCACTAGCCTTCCAGGTAAGCCATTTTTTCTGTTTAAATTATGCACGTATTTTGATGGTTGTTAAACATCAAAATACCAAAAGAGCATGTTTGTATTGCCTAGAAAGATGCACAGGTGTGTATGATAGTTTTGACATTAGTCACACAGTGGATTTAAAATTTGTTTCAGATGGCTCAGGGGAATTTTGCCCTTTTCTGTACTCACGCAGCGAATATGGGAGCATATTTCCAGCATCTTGTTCTTATATTACTGGTGAGGGATCCATTATTTCAAAGTGTATTGTAAGAAGTACTGCAACAAGGAGCTATTTCTACCTGATCTGATCTGTAAAAATAGCTTTTTATAACCTTATGCAGACAGATTCCTTCTGTATATATAAAAAAATATATTTTTGAAAATTTACTTTTAATTTTTGTAATTTTAATTTTTATATTTTATGACATAAAGCACATTACATTATATTAATTTAATTATATAATTATATTATATTAAAGTACAACATACTGACATTTTTTAACAGTCTCACATTTATGTTACAAATTATTTTTTTAAATATGTATACCATTAATTTTCAATTATACAGAATTATATATTTAGTCATCTTTTTTTTGTGCAGACATCAGCTACAATATCCATCCCAATGTGGCAGACACTACTGGTCAAAAAAGGCAAGAAGACCACCATATTCATCGGCCTATCGGTGAACACCACTCTTTGTTTCTAATTAGATTATTTATGGCTGCATATAAAGGAAATAGGAATACTATAACAATTACAAGTTATATTTGTTTGTAAAGTTAATATTAAATGCAGCCCATCAGCATGCCCTTAGTTTTTATATTTATTTTTTTACCTGAAATAGTTTCCACTTTTTCATTTCTCTTTCTCCTCTACAGGTTTATATCCCAGCTCTAATTGTGATATCCCTAGTGAAAAGTAATTTACCCATCTTCATTATTATGTCCATGGTAGCTGGCACGAGTCTGGCAGCCCTCTATCTACTCCCTTGGTAATTTAACATTCATGTAATCTCTCTTTTACCACTAAAGCCCTCACTCCACCCAATGTTTTCCTCTTGCATTACTGAAACATTACGCTAACCCAGATGGTGGTCAGCTGGGAATTAGTTGTATGATATGTTCGTCATTATAATGTTTGGTCGGTTCAGAATGACACCATACTTAAATTCGATCGCAATTGAAACTTATCAGACCAGGCAACTTTTTCCAATCTTCTATTGTCCAATTTTAGTGAGCCCATGCAGGTTGTAGCATCAGGTTCCTGTTCTTATCTGACAGGAGTGTCCTGTAGCCCATCTGCATAAAGGTTTGACGTGTTGTGCATATCAGAGATGATCTTCTGCATACCTTGTAACAACTGGTTATTTGAGTTCCTATTGCCTTTCTATCAGCTTGAACCAGTCTGGCCATTCTCTTATGACTTCTGGCATCAACAATGCATTTTTAACCACAGAACTGCCGCTCACTATTTCGTTTATTTGGACCATTCTCTGTAAACTCTAGAGGTGGTTATGCAATGAAAATTCCTGTAGATCAGTAGTTTCTGAAATAAACCAGCCCATCTGGCACCAACAACCAATGCCACATTCAATGCCACTTAAATCACCTTTTTTTCCCATTCTGATGCTCAGTTTGAGCTTCAGCAAGTCATTGTGACCATGTCTACATGTCTAAATACATTGAGTTGCTGCCATGTGATTGGCTGATTAGATGTTTGCATTAACGAGCAGTTGAATAGGTATACCTAATAAAGTGGCTGGTGATTCTATATATATATATATATATACAGTGGGGCAAAAAAGTATTTAGTCAGCCACCAATTGTGCAAGTTCTCCCACTTAAAAAGATGAGAGAGGCCTGTAATTTTCATCATAGGTATACCTCAACTATGAGAGACAAAATGAGAAAAAAAAATCCAGAAAATCACATTGTAGGATTTTTAAAGAATTAATTGGTAAATTCCTCGGGAAAATAAGTATTTGGTCACCTACAAACAAGCAAGAGTTCTGGCTCTCACAGACCTGTAA